CAGCAGGACTATATTTCCTTGTCTCCTGACAAGAGTAAATTACCTCTGAGATGTGATGTTAACATACACATTGCATTCAAGCTCAAATGTCACTTTTACAGCACCTGAACTGCACAGCCTTCCTTTCTACCCAGCACCCAGAATAACAAAAAAGAAGTGTTTGTTCTTTCTTCTCAGTTCTCCTTCAACGACAAAATATCAGGACTTTTTAAGGATGCGGCAGATCCAGAACATGCGTATGGCCAATGCTTTCCAGAGGATCCACTAATTTGCCAGTAAGATGATAAATTTTGCATTTTTAATTTACATTTTATTTTGCATCTCTTAGTAAATTTTGTTTGCCAACAAATTCACTGCTTTGCTTTTGAGTCCCTGTCCACGTGCACACTCCAGCATAAAGAGACTCAGTCACTGAACAACCATGGCTGCAGGACATTTTAAAAAGCACCATGCACTTCATTGGAGCATTTTGCAGAAGTCTGGGGGGCGTTGATCTCACAAACCAGGAGCAGACGCATTTTTTAAAAGTCAACAAGAGTCACCTGGGTCAAAAGAAACTAAAGTGGTTACTCTACCTTGGCACTTTTTTCTGTTTAAAAAGTCTGCCTGAAGATCAATGCACCCATTCGACAGACCAACCCACTCTTACTGACGTGGGGTGAGATTTTGTCTTCCTTTTTTTATTTTATATAAACATTGGGATGTCTGTTCATCCTCAGATCCTGGATATGATGTCCATGAGTGGAAAAGAAATCCCTTAAAAAGGGAATATCTATCACTCTGAGCTCCTGTCCTCTTGGAAACCCAACTGAGAGAAGAGCTGCCCACCTGAGATCAAGCAAGGCCAGGTTGCATGGGGCTTTGAGCAGCCTGGACTGGTGGAGGTGGCCATGGCCATGGCAAGGGTTGGACCAGGGAAGCTTTAAGGTCCCTTGAACCCAAACCATGCTGTCATTTATGATCAGTCACAGGGATAAATGACCCACAAGCCATGAGTGCATGCACATCTAGGCAGAGAAAGCGGTTTTCTGTCATTATGCACAGGAGATACTCTTTAGGTAAAAAAGAAGCCTGCAATAAGGTACCTCGTCACGAGGGCAAACATCGCACCAAAGACTGTGAAGAGATTCTCAAGAGCCCAACCAAGTGGAGCTTCTGCTGCTGACAGTCCCAGTGAGACAGGAAATTAAAAAGTGCCTTTGGAGAGGATTTAATGGCAGCCTGAAAATAAGCTTCCTAAAAGAAAAAAAAGATCACAATATGCAAATGGAGCTTCCCAGGTATGGAATAACAAGAGCTGCCACCGCTGATTTGAAACTGAACACAAGGAAAAGTAAGTAATGTTTTCCTGAAGATGATAACTCAAATTTTCCTTTCAGAATAAAGAGTGACTGTCCTGTAAACCTCCTGCATGCTGCAGAGGTGCTCAAATTGACAACTGGGGAGCTGTTCATACCCAGAGATGTCACTGAGTGTCAGGAAGTCACCAAGGCATGACTGAGGAAGCCAAGTCACCGCATTCAGATTAGGGTATGGCCTGGGGGGATGCTCTTTGTCTTCATTCCTCTGCCTTCTGTGTCCTTGTGGATTCCCTGTAAGGCACCAGGGTAGGATGCTGCAGAGCTTCACTGAGATCTGACTGCGGGATGAAGAGTCTCCCGTGAAACCACGGGACAGGAATCTCCCTGTGGACCAGCCTTCTCGCAGCTTTGTTTTCACATGAACAACTTCTCTGACAGCATACACAGATTTCTTAGCAGGCATCTCCATGGGTGCATCTTCCCCAGCTGCAGAAAAACCCGGGGATTCTGCAAGCTGCTTACTGTTCTAGTTTGGGATTAACAGCCAAAAGAGACCAAGTTTTGGGTTCCTTTGTAGCCAGAAACTAGAAATTGGACATTTTTCAGGAATACCAACTGTGACAGACACCTATTGACGTGGAAGGCACAACCCCAGTGTGGGTGGAAGACAGCCTGACGCTAGATAGTAGTGAGCAAGCCATGCAAAAAAGACAAGAGAAGCATACGGAAAGGGAGAAGGACCAAAAGAGGACTTATTTCAGCTGAAGAAATCAATGGTTACTATCACACAAACCTCTGGTTTCACCGAGACAGATGAACACAGAAGAAAAAAATCCCTCTTAAAAAGTTCAAATACGAAGAGGTAGACATAAAATATAGAATACATATTGCTAAATCCTTGAAGAACCTGATCTCAATTAGACTGCAGAAACTCCTCTTGAGTCAAAATAACTGAAGAATAACCGAGGAGCAGAAAGCCTATACTAATTTTGATGCTCATATGCCAAAACCCCTGGAGAAGCTGGGGATGTGCATTGCTAGAGCTTGAGGAGCTGAACACCTCCAGAAGTGCAGGCAGACAGGCACCTGACGGGGCCAACAGCTTAAAATTAAATGTATTTTAAAGTAAATGCCTGGTTTTACACTTGATACCTTCATCCACCTGCCAAGAGCAAAGCTCAGGGTGACTGTCTTCTACCAGAGCTTGACTATGTTTAACTCAAAATCAATCCAGAGGAAAGCATCTGTGAAGTGCTAAGAGCTGATATTATCTCCATCTCCTCCACAAAGGCAATGTCATTCCAGGCACGGCTAAAGACAAGAGAAGGTCTGAAAACCTTTTCTGCTTTCTTTTATTTCAGGAGTTTTAAAATAAATCAGGAAGCATTCGTTTCTGTGCAAAACCCTGCGTATCACACACCCAGCTGAAAGCGTAATTTGGCCGCTGTTGTTCTTTCTTAAACAACTCCGAAGTTCTGCTACACAAACCTGAGGTACAGATGCCGATTTTACAACTTTAAGAAACAAAGCCAAAACCATTAAAAATGCTATTGCTCTCAATTAAATTGGGCTATTCCACAGTGCTGTCACTTTTCTATTGCACTTCACCACCCCTCAAATCATCAATGTCACTACTATAAGGACCTAATTTTCACTTTTTTAATTCAAGCACATTCATTAACACAACTGAACGTGATTTGAACAAAAAGAAAATATACAAAATAATGTCAAAATCACAAATGAAAGGCAGAAGTCCTTTCTTACTGCTCAAGACAGTAGTTACGCTTATTTACCTTTAACAGACTTAAGTTATGTGTGTGAGAAGAGGCAGGAAAATAAACTTTACTTTTAAACATTCGGATTGCAGGTATTTTCATTTGGACCCCATTTTAGGAAAAAATTAGGTAAACATTCATGCATGTAAAGATAAATTCTTATATTTTACAGCATCCCCAGGAGCTAAAAGAATACATGGCGTGACAAGAACAACTCTAAACCTACCATGTGCACCTGCAGTTTAAATGCAGGGTGCAGCTTTCAGAGGTTTGTTTACTTCCACAGTCACCGAAGTCAGTAAAAGTTTAATCACTACTGACTTTAACGGTGGCACAGCAAGACCAGTGACAAACACTTCTGAGCCTCCTGCAATCATTAACGGCTCCTCTGCTCCCACTTCGTGAAGCAAATTTGCCCATCATCAGCTGCTGCAAAGTTCAAAGGTGTTTTCTGCAACACAGCAGCATTTATCGCATATTCTATACGGCCCTCCCTTTGTACATCATGTGGCCAAAGTCTCACTTCATTCCTGTACTCATACAAAAGCCGCAGTAACAATAATTTACATTTATGTACATTTATAATGAAAGATTTTAATTCATAATTAAAGATAACAGAAGACGCAATTAAAGATTAATCATAAGAGATGCAATTAAAGATGCACGTGTTATCCAAAAAAGGGACAAACAAAACACGATCAAGTATAAACCCTCCAGTCCTCCTCTGACTTAATTTATCTTGCGCTAGGCCTGCTGTGATTCTAAAAAAAAGTTACTTTTAGTTTATTGAAAAAGCCAAACCACATATAAAGAGTGTAAAAAACCAAACGTTTACAGTTTTCATCAGTCACAAACAATTTTAATACGGATCACTGCAGGATACTGTTAGCATCTACTTTTCTCTACGTTTCACAACACTTCTACTTTTCTTCTAAGATTTATGATGCTTTTTCCTTCCCTTTGGAAGGAAATGGCATGAATACAGCTCAAGAAATGGAAACATGTAAGTCTAACACATTTTACTGATATAAGCAAACTAGAAATTAAAGCTTCCTAAGCCAGGAGTACTACAGAAAAAGAAATCTACAGTTACTGTACCTTGGGAACGCTTTCGCTTAAGACATGCAGCATCTGAATTCTCCTTATATCCTCTCCATTTGAACAAAGAAGGGAGGGAGAAGGGAGGGAGGTAGTAGAGAACTAAAAGTAAAAACACTGAGCTTCAAAGTAAAATTTTTAAAAGGGGTGGCATTTTTTTTTTCAATAGTATTACCATTTTTAGGAAAAAAAAAGTTATATACACTTAAAAAAACTGAGTTTGTAGCAAAACCGTCAGGTCACAGTAGCCAAATTCAGTTTCTTCAGTCTTCAGAAACAGTTCTGGCATCACAACAAAGCTAAAGGCATTAGTAAAAGATAGCAGGAACACGGTGTAATCAGACTCGCCACATGCCTTTGCGTTTACACACACATAATGCTCTATTTGTACAGGGTAGAACACAGTAACCCTTCTTAAGTATACATAAAACATTGGAAAAAACCCCAAAACAAACCAAAACCACAATTCACTTCTAAGCACAGCTCTATTATTTTCCCTAAAGAGTGTAACGGGATCATTAAAAATCAGATTGGACAATACTGTTACTCTGCTTTTTTAGTCCTCAAGCAGCTGCTTTTCATGGCAAAATGCAACAGTGGGCAGCTTCGCCGCTGAGCTTCCCCTTGATGGTGAGGCAAGTCCATAGTTTTTATCAGACTTTCAACCGTTTTACTGCACAACTCATGAGAATATTGAAATACTGCACAGTAACCTGAAAGATTCTTTTTTCAGGGACTTACGTATCGGTGCTGTGTGATTATGCTCCTGGCATTTATACATGAGACTCAGTTACGGTGGATACCTTTTACACTTCTTCAGGAGGTCCTGCGCAAGGCTGAAAGTGAAGTCCTACAAATCTACATCTTCTGTGTCACTGCCCTGTGGGCCCTCACTCACACAAGTAGTCTTAATTTCCAAATATTTTTGCCTCAAAATTCTGTTGTAGTCAAAGAGAAGGCATTTAAATCCAATGAGGAATCAAGGCTCTCCAGCCTGGCTTCTGAATCCAGAGGCATTAAAGTGTAATTATGTGAAATCAGCCAACATGCTGGAGAGCAAAGAGAAGCGCAACTGAAGATCTTCCCCTGCAAACACCAGGAGTAGGTAACACTCTGTGATCCAGTAACTCATGCCAGTACAAGTGAGCAATACTCCCTGTTTGTGTCAATGGCTAAAATTCCCAGTTATACTGGTCCAGGATCAGGCCTCTTCACACCCTCAGCTCACAGCTCTGTCAGCAGTGCCTTAATCAGATGCAAGTGAAGTACATTACTGTGGTACATCAGCTTTCTAGACGAGAGGAAAATTAGGCTCTGCACTTGCAACTTGATGGGATAATTTAGACTACAGAATAGTTCACTGGTTGTGGCAACTCAAGAGTATATGGAGGAAATTCAAATAAAATACAAGGGGAAAAAAAAAGTCTGCATGGTGAGGCTAGTCAGACACTGGAAGAGGTTGTCCAGAGAAGTTGTGGAGCCTCCGTTGTTGGAGATATTCAAAACCCCACTGCAACATCCCGAGCAACCTGCTCTGGTTGACTCCACAGCTTTGAGCAGGAAGGTTGGACTAGACCTCGATCTCTAGGTCGGATGAGATCTCCAGAGATCCCTCTTGATCTGGATGACTCTGATTCTATGAATATGACTTTCCCATCTTCAGGTTAATTTAGCCAGCTGTGACAAAAACTAATCGGTAACAATTTTTTTTATGAACAGAGATATTTTTAGTTGAAATCTAAGGCAAAAAACCCCCAACTATTCCAAACAGAACTTTTATAGTTTCTGTGGCATCTAACCCCATGCTGAAGTTCCATAAGAAAAAACAACAAACTTGTGTTGTTTCAAAATCAATGTATTAAAAGAAAATCATTCTGATTCTGACAGATTTTTTTTTCTACATTTCTTATGATCAGTCACAGAATCACACACTTGATCACAGAATCATTTCTGTCAAAGGGGTTCATCTGCTCCAATCCTCTAGACAGGGCAGGACTGACTTTTGAGTCAATGATCCCATTTCAAGTTTGAATCAGGTTGCTCAAGTGATTTCCAGCTGAATTTTGAGGATCTCTATGGATGGATATTCCACAAACTGTCTGTGCAAATGTCTATTTGTCTATGTCTATTCCTACCTTACTATCACATATATTAAGCTTTCAGCTTCACTTCATCCTAATGAAATGAATATACCTGAAAAAGATGATGGAGCAAAAGATTACAGATTCTCAAATGATATTTATGACAGTAACAGCTAACCAAGAATTCTTAAGGCAGAGATAGCAAATGTTAAAGCACACACCTGAAGTGGTGGGCTCCTGCCTGCTGACTGCTCCTCTGTGCTGAGGAACTCACCGCAAGGGACACGGGGGTTCTGGCCCCACAGAGAGAAAAACCAATGCTGAAGTAGCAACTTTGACCCTCCATCAAGGAGCTCTTGATCTTTGACCTTCCTTCAAGGAGGTCTTGGTCTGCACGTCACTGCCTTTATTGTGGTTAAATGCTGTTAGCAAAATACCTGGTCTGAGAGCCCTTAAACATCTGCTATGATCTGAGTTCATGGTCTGGTTTGATCTTATAACAGTCTCGATATTATTGAAAATACTTGAGAATGCTGCTCCTTCAGTGGGCTACTTTAGATGGGTCCTGAACTCGCTGTCTGCCTAAGTGTGCAAAAAAAGCAGTTTCTAAATATTATCTTGTTCTGTCAGGTTTGAAGTTTACCGGTTGCCAAAAAGTTACTACGATACCCTTTTTGTGTTCCCTTCAAAATGCTTTCAGATGAAATACTGCTTCACAGAACAAGTATTATAACCCAAGTTTATCTCAGAAATACTTGCAGAATTATCTTACAGCAGTAAGATATTTGAGCGTAATCACTGGGTATATGCAGCACAAGAAAGGCCAGTACTTCTGCACAAAGGCACCGAGATATAACCTGTTCTCATGTGATCAAATAAACACCCCAGATATTTCCACATTTTAAAGGTATCAAGTATTTTAAATTTTGAAGGTAAGAGTTTAGATCAAAACATCACTTTACATCTTGTTTTGATATTAATTTACGTACGTTAAGTTTAAAGAATGAATTGTTCTTAAAGAAGGACAAGCAAAGCCAATATACAAAAAAGCCCAGTGTTACCTGGATGGAAAAAAACCCTAAGTACTGGACTAATTAATTTGAGGTCCCAACCCCTCCTCCACTATTGTCTACCTAACTATAGAGCAGCAGAACACAAATCAGACCTGGGAGCCCACATATACTGTTACAGCAGAGCATCTCATTTTGGGGTTTAAGGTGTCATCAGAGTCAACTGTTTTTAGCACAGACTTGAATGGCAAATGCTAAGCTCTACTCCTCAATCCAACTACAAAATGACAATGTGGTGACTCTCATTCAGAAAAATGATCTGAAATTACCTTATGCAATGACAAGCCAGAAGATGCTTTCTTGAATCATCTGCAGAGTTGCATTTGTGCAAACTTGTGATTTGAATTAACTCAAATCCAGGCTGCAGACATCGTTTCACAACGAAGAAGACAAAATGCAGCCAAACCCCTAATTCCTCATCCTAACTGTGGTTTCCTCCTGTAGCCGTATCGGTTACTCTGCCTTAAAAGACAGCACAGCAACGTCCTTTGATGTATCTCAACAATAAAATGAACTATTTAAACTGAAAAATGTATGTGGAATTTGGCCAGGATCAAGGCCAGCGTTATGAGATGTGAAACAGAGCACGGCCAAGCTATGGAGGAGATGGTGATGCCCTTGCAGTGTTTGCTTTCACCAGGACTCCAGCAGCGTTCTGCTGGCCTGGTTTTAGGCATTTTGAGAGTCGATGAAGAGAGGAGCTCATGTCCTCAGCATGCCTCCCTGACACACAAATTCTGCCTGGTCTGGGGAGTCACTACGTTTTACAATAGAGCTCTGATACTTCGGAATAGTGCCTGTGAACTCCTACAGGACGTAACCTTCTTGGAGCTAAATACAGGTCAATTGGGTGTTGCAAAAAAAAAAACCAAACAACCAAAAAGTCACATTCACCTACTTGGACAGTCCTAAGAAATCAAGTGCCTGATTTCTGCATTCTGCCATAACAAATTCTTTACCTGAAAAAGCCATGCCACTGCTCAGCAGACCCCTGGAGAGGATCAGGCACCAAGAGGTGTCAGTGACATCAGGCACCTTAAATGCAGTTCATTTTGCATGAAATTAAATACTTTGTAAGGATGAAAACCCAAATGCCATTACGGTTTGTTCAGCAGAGGGATCACCCACTGAAGCTGTGATCTCCAGGGTGCCTCACACAACTTGAGACCTCATTCCCCCCAAAACCATCATATGCTGCTGTTACCTTCAGCATTTGCAGCTTCACGTGCTACCAAACAACACTGGAGGGTTGCAGGGGCATGATGTTACTATGGGCTGCAGGTTGGAGACCCCTATTCCGAAACATTTTGCTCTTTTGGAGGAAGGTTTGCTTTGATCAAGAGTTTAATAATGAGGCATTTATACACCAACACAAGCCATGGATGAAGCTTGGTTATTTCCCTGTTAACATACTACAATCCAGCAGCAGAACTGATAAGTCATTGGAGTGGGAAATGTTTTTTCTAGACATACAGGTACTCTCCTAACATTTATCCCAAAACTAAAGATATAAGGAAAGCAGAGGGCCAAGTGCTCGCTATCAGTTTTTGCAAATATGAAGGGGAGCAGCACCACTTGCCCTGGACTTAAAGAGGGCGATTCCACTGCCACCGGCCAGGTTGAGGGTGCTAAACACCCAGGAAACTTCTGCTTTCCTCACAAAAAGATCTCAGAGAACAATAAAATAAAGATTATTAAATTGCAAATAAATTGTCAACTTGGATATCCAAATTCGGTTGCCCCAAATTAGGCTGAATACAAGAAAATTACCCAGAACTGAAGCAGCAAAGTGGGACCTGCTCCTAATTTTTCAGCACGCTGCCATCATTTAGAGCACGGTTGGGGCAAATCAAGATCCAAGGGGTTTCCCTACTGCACATCAACAAGATGCTTGTTGACAAGCTAGTTTTTTGTTATTTATGGTGCAAAGTGGCATGTTCATACAAAAAAGTAATTATAACACTAGAAGGCTGTAACAGCAGATCTTAATTTTGCTGAGGAATTAGATGAGATTGCTGGTTTTCCAGCATTTAAAATGCTTTATCATTGCACTGCTAACAGTCACTTCGTCTCTCAATGATATTTACAGATATATTTTAACTTTCACTGGTCTTAAAGAACAGCTACCTGTAAATTTGATGGGACCAAAATAGGTTTCATACAGGACGCAATGACAACAAATTGTAGCAACAAACTGTAGCTTTAAAGAAATTTATAAACTGAACTCGGCACTTCTCCAACTAATTATGCTTCCTTCATCAGCAACAATGCAAGTTGTAAAGCTTCTCCCAGTGCCACGTGCAGATGGCAATCATGGATACCAGCTGATGAGAGACTTATCGAGAGGCATATTATAATGACAAAGCCACTTGTCACACTTACTGTCAGCTATAGTTTTCCTGCAACTCTCCTATTACTACAGGAAAAAAAAAACCTATTGAAAGTTATTGGTGACTTTACACTTACTCCATTTTGAAGTGATTACATACACAGCTGGGTTGTTTTTAACTTTAGGTTTAGAAAAGGCACTGCTATCTGAATTTGGACTTTCTTTTTCTGATCTTTTATGGTTTTGTAAGTATCAGCTGAGCTTTGCACCAGTGCACTGGGACAATAAATCAGTACAGGCACATAGAAATACAGGTAAAAGCACCTTTCAAAGTGGTGGCTGTACTGGCACAGTGCTGTGGCTCTGGGTCGCACCATTTTATGCAACTCCCTGACAGAGCTGTTGAAGCAATGGCCAGAGGAAAAGATCTTTCAAGTGGTATAAATAGAAAAAAACAAAATTATTCCCCTCCCTAGCATTGAGGGGAGTTAGAAACTTAACTACTCTCTGCTTCCAGTTTATTAAAAAGCTTTTACTTGTGTGCTCATGCAGTTCACACATAAGAACTCCTCATGCTCACCGCCCAAACACAGCCTCTCCTACAATTTGTGACTAATTTGTCCAAAGTTGCAGTTTAAAGAGTCTTTAAAAGTTGCTTTATAAAGAATAACACAATCAAAACCCTACTGAAATGTATTGTGAGGCTTCTGTACTTGAAGCTCTTGGTTTGTAAGTTGTTCACCAAGTGACAACCAGCAAACAGAAGTGAAGTGTGAAAGGCAAAAACACTGAACTTTCGCTGTGCTACGCTTGCCCTGATCAACAAATTCAACTGAGCACATTAAATAACAGATCAGGAAATTCAGAAGACTATTCTTAAAAATGATAAATGCATTTGTCTGAGAGTCTCAAGAACACTAACTGAATGTCCTCAGTCTGGTCATTAAAATATAAGGACTTCCATAACAGAATGATGCTCGAGATTTGCTATAGGTGAACGCTACTCTAATGAAGTCACAGGCTGAACTAGGATGGAAAAAGAAACGTGATCTGTAAAACCGATACTCCCTTTAGGGCAGAATTAGGAATGCTGGCCAGAGCTAATAGCCGCTTTGCATTTGGACACTGACTCTTCTTGTCCCATCATGAGATTTCAGTTTGGAGTGAGATTTCAAACACAATTAAAAGATATGAAACATGAGGCAAAATGGGAACAAGAAGCTTATCCACAAATATAATTTTTGCAGTGTTCATCAAATGTGCTACAGCAGGAAATCATCAGGACATCAGGATGCACTGAAAGTTAGGAGAGCAAACTGATGCCTGTAACAATGTTCCCCGCTACATAGGATGGGGACCATCACAGATCACATTCTTACTTAAAAAAAAAAAAATTAGACCCCAACTCTCCAGAGACCACATAATAAAAATAGGGACCTAAACAACCTTACCCTCCTTCCCGTCCACAGGTTTTGATATTTCCATATCAAAGCTCTCCTGCAGCTGCTGGCCTCTGAAGCGGCTGAGGTGCTCCTGCTCTATCAGGTTGCTTTCCTCCTCTTCCAGAGGTTGCCACGTGCCATCGATAAACCACTGTCCACGCATCACAGGGATCTTTTCTGTTTCTAAAACCAAACAAGAGACATTACTTTTAATGCAACAAGTCACAAACTGGCAGCAGATAAGAGGGAAAGGGAATTCTCTGTGGTGTTTTGATGCAAACAAGGTAACCACAAACACCTTGAGAAACACCACCACCTTTTCCCATGGGGCTGAGATGAGTCACAAAAGTGGTGTTCATCTGCAAACAGCTGAGCTAATAGTGGCAAATTTTTAGTATGTGTTTGAGGATGTGAGAGATGGACAGTAAGACGCAGATACTGGAATATTAATTAGAAGTTCAGTTCAGGTAAAAAGTCCAATTTTAATGGGACATAGTCCTCTCTATCAGGTGCCTTGAATTTTCAAAAAATTAGGAACTTTGTGAGACTCAAGCTCCTCTGTAGAATTTGACTGATAACAACCACTGGTTTCAAAGTTATCAAGAGGATGCAGAATGAGGGGATAAAACCCCACTTACGCTTACCCTGACACCAGAGAGCCTTGTTTCCTTTGGGAACTGCACTTACAATGACCAAATCACACATCAATTGGCATAAAGGACGATTTTAAAGATGAAATGGGGTTTTTAATTAAAATCAGCCTTTCACTGAGGGCTGTTTTTGGTCACTGTCCCTCTAGTTTCAGTTCTGGCACCCCAAATGAGGAAGCTGGGTGCCCAGCAATTGCTGCCCACATGAAAATAGAGAAATCTCTATGAAAAATGTATCCTGGTGCTTATTCTTCACCAAACTCTGCTTGGTGCCCACATCAACTACCGGGGCTGCAGGGAGCAAGAATTCTCCTTTTATAACCATCCCTGCAAGCAAACTCAGACAATAATATCCATTGTAGCTCAGAATTTCTCCTCCTACAACTGGAAAATCAAGGGGAAGAAATACTGTGTGTGCCTGTGCTCCACAAGCTTGTAAGATCCCAAACTCATGGGACCGGCACAGATTTAGGTCTGCTGAGACCCTAGAGCAGTCAGACCACTGCCCTGTGCGTGCTGCTGTATACTGCACATAGAGAGAAACTAAGCAAAATGCAAATATCTTGTGTGTGTGCACACTAACCACACAGGTTGAGGTCTCCAAAGCAGCTCAAGTCCAAAAGGAGAGGCTCCAAAAAGGAGATGGGGGAAAAAACCAAGTTTTACTGCTCAAAGAATTGTTGCTACCTGCAAGGTGGGGAAAAAAGCTGGCAATGAGAGTTTGGAAAAGAAGCACTAAATGCAAAGAAACTGTAAAGAAAAATTAGGTAAAAACCTAAACTAAAAATAATAGAGAGCACAAATATTTTGGAGTTATGGAGGGAAGGAAGGGAAAGATTGATGCCCAATCTATCGTCAGAGCAGTGCAAGCGCAGCTGGGCGAGGTGACCCAGCCAGGGCAGTGGTTTTCAGCCCGGCCGCATCGCTCTGGTAGCACAGCCCTTAGCTCAGGCCATGAAAACATCTGCATCAGAGCACCAGGGAAATCAGTGCAGGAGGGGGCCCATGAGAAAGCTGGAGAGGGACTTTCTACAAGGGCATGTGGCGATAGGAATATTGGGGAATGGTTTAAAACCAAAAGAGGGGAGAGATTTAGACCAGATATTAGGAAGAAATTCTTTACTAGGAGGGTGGTGAGACACTGGCAAACCTTTCCCCATAACATAAACATAGGAAAACACTGTTTCTACACTACTAGAAACGATGATATTCTCTTAACACCCCATCTCTGTTAACAGGAGGGCACACTTGCAGGTGATGGCATCCTTAGCTTGGTTCTGCAGCAATCAGCAAGGAAAGGTGAGCAGCAGGAAAGCTCGAGGTGAGGAGGGAAGCGGACGCTGGAGGCGGAGGATGTGGAGCATGGAGTCCAAATTACCACTGAACTTCCCCTCCTCAGTGCTGGCACACGTGCTCTCCTCCCAGTTACTCCCAGTGACTGGGAAAACCCGCATACAACCCTATAAACCAGCCCCTCTGTCACACATGGCACAAAACAGCGTGAATTTCCCAAGACCATGGCTCTGAGCATTGCCAGCCTCTCCCATCCCAACCTCCCACAGATCCCAGTTTGCCTTAGCAAGCACTGGATGTGCTGGTTCATCCCTCTCAAGTCCCCCAAAACCTTGGTCAAGCTCTCTGATCCTGAGGCATCCTCAGCTCTGCATATACGGTTGAACTCAATGAGCTTAAAGGTCTTTTCGAAATAAATGACTCTATGAATGATTCTGTATGTAACAAAAATTACTTGGGTGACCAAAACGCAGCCAGAAGTAGCACAGGACCTGGTTCTGCCATTCAACTTCTGTTCGCACCCCTAAAATAGCTATTCCAGATATTCTTATGCACTGGATTTCTAACATTTTGAATGTTGATGATTCATCAGATGAATAATGAGGTTGGGGTGCTCGAGAGGTATGGTTATTTAGTGACAATGAATCCCAATATAGCAGAAGAATGAGAGGTCTGAGTGGCTTTAAACTGCTGAAATTAAGAGTCACGACACATGACAGAAAATTCAACTGTCTATGAAAATTTAAACTAATTTTGGGGTTTAGATCCCATAAATGAAGCGTGAAACACGAGTATTTAGCTTTCATGATATGAAAGTTAACCACAGCAATATTAGTATTGCGTTATATCGTATTAATTACAGTAACTGCAATAATACATTTATATTTGTAAACAATGTATCTGTATATTACATACAAATATAATTTGTACATATTATATATACAATTATATTAGCATACAATAATACAATTGTTACTGTATTATTACAATTGTATTATGACAAAATTTTTATTATTGTATTATTATATATTACATATACTATTAGTATTATATACAGCAGCCTCTCATCGTGCACCTGTCTTGACCTTTGCTGCATTCCCCTACATTTCACACCTGCCAAACATCCACATTTTTCCATAGAGCAAATACACCCAGACCCGGTTATGCTGCACTTACAAACAAAGCAGTGTCTGTAGGAAAAAAAACCCCAAAATGCACATAATGTGAGCGCAGATAAAGGGTCCCTTTGTTGCTGAAGCAAAGACACCACTACGTCAGATGTTAATCCATACTGGGAAAATGTGTAAGCAATTCCTTAATTCTTGACTAAGCATTCTGACACGGCTCCATTCACTGAATCCATACAGATTTTTAAAAATTTAGTATTTATATGAATACTATTTTGTACTCCAAACCAAATGAATGTAAGACATCTCCTTTTCAGTCTTGAAGGGCTTTAAGTTTTTCACATGGGAATTTCCACCTACAGATTTCTAAAATTCTAAACCTAAAGCATTAAAAGAAACATTTTCAAGTACTTTTTGCCTGAGAGAAACTTTCCCGTAGTGGGACTTTACAAGAGTTGACTGTAGCACTCAACAGCAGCTCTTCAAGCAGAGGATGGGCAGAAAGGCCGTTTTCCAGAAAGGCTGAGCCAGGAAAAATTGCCACGTTTGAAATAAAATTTTTTGTTGTGAAATCTCTACAGGGCAGTTTAGTTTGGGAATAAACGAATATACCTGGCTTTGGGTCAGATGACTACAACAGGAGAGTAGATTTTTCACTGTGGGTAAGAGTAACCACGCACCTTGACAAGCACAACTCCTGTTTAATTCT